CGAAATGTCCAAAGGGGGGGGAGCCATTGCCAAAAGATCACGCCCAGAAGGAGATGCACCATACCCCTGAACCCATAGATACCTGAGAGAAGTCAATCGAGTTGCAGCAACAGCTAGTGCATACTCACTGAAAAAGGAACATCCTCGCATTTCAAGTTTCTGAAGACTGGGGCAGCCTTTAGAGAATTCCAAAAGCCCTGCATCAGTCTCCCCCACATAACCAAGAAGCATCCATCTCACGTTTGGGCTGTATTGCCCTATGTAACCGAGCCCCACATCAGTCAAGCCCCCAGGTCTGAGATACAGAGCAAATCTTCTGAGCTTGTCACAGCCCCTCAGCAAAGCCCTCACTCCGTTGTCAAGTGGCAAATCAGTTATTTTCTCTTCACGGTCAAGCAAGACAAGGCGAAAATCAGAGAGTTTTTTCAAGTGAGCACCAATGTGTTCTAGAGATGCATTCGTAATGTCGGATACATAAACGGCTAAGTATTCAAGTTCTGGACAGCCATGTGACAAAGCAATTAGTCCTCTCTGCGAAACAACACCTTCTTCATCCTCCATCCCTTGATCATCATCACCTCGTTCAATACGAAGCCTTTTAAGCCTCCTACAACAGCGAGCAAGCACTTCTAATCCTCTGTCTCCAATTACGTTCCTTGACTGCCAACGAGGAACCGTTGTTAGTTTATTATCAATATTCCCAATGTTGTTTTAGTAATTCAATATAACCTATTATCCCAAACTTAATATCCATATGGACCACATCCATTTCATTGATTTTATAATTTTTACATTTCTTATGTATTTTGATCTATATGTAAAGCGTTTGGGCTTGTGGAGCTCACTTAGAGCAAGCATTTATACAAATACAGAGGTAGATGAATGTGGAAGGCTAGATCAAAAGAAATTGAGACAACCACAACAGTCATCGCAAGAATTTGAAGAGCGAACAAATATGATGATGAAAAGTTCTGGAAACTTACCTCAAGGACTTCCAAGTTGGGGCACCTTTGGATTAACATACAATGGTCCTCTGTATCCAGCATTGCATAGAGAAGATCCAACTTTTTAAGCAAAGCTGCATAAGGGACCACTATGGGCATTTTATTCTTTGTAATATATGTCAAACCCAAACGACTTAATTTTTCTGGTAATGGTATAGCATTGTACTCCAATTCCTCATTGTAGGAACCACCACAAAATTCTTCTAGAGCAGACGCATGTCCAAAGAAGTTCACCAGATCCAATATTTCACAATCAGTAATTTTCACAGAGACTAAGTTGGGGCAATTTCTAGCAATAAGTTCAAGGTCTTGGATTCTAATATTGGCAATATCCGTCAAGTAAAAATTCAGTGTCTCAAGAACTGTATTATTCAAAGCAAGCTCATGGAGCCAGTCACCATCATTCTCCACTAGTGAACTTTCCTCTAAAAATAAGATTCTTAAATTCCTGCCAAAAAGAAAATTTCACGGTCAGAGGCGAACTAATTCATATAGCAGGCAGGCAAAGTTCCTGCTTCCAAGAGGCAATGAGACACCTTAAAAATCTCTGTCTAGCCCCAGGCGCCCCCCTCCCTCTTTAAAAAATACCCTTAATTTGAATGACTGAGAACTAATGGATAAAACATAAGTGCATTGAACGCGCTTTAAATCTAACGGTAAGAAATTCTTTAAATCTTCTTTATAACACTTTCTTACTTATCTTACAGTCTATTACATGAAAAATGTATTAAATATGTTTATATTCTCAATGATTTTGCTAATCATTAATCCAAAAACAATACCTAAAGAATTATGCAGAATTTTTTAATTAAATAGTATTAAAATTTGTTACTAATACATTACTTCAGTGGTTTCCAGTTAAAAATAATATTTTATTGATTCCTTAATTATTGCTCTCTAGAGTTATAATTAACAAAACTACATTTTCAATATATTGAATGTATTCATATTTTATTTAATACTCCATTTTTATAAAGATAAAAAGGTGAAAATTTTGTATTTATAAAGAAAATATGATTTAATTATCAAATTTTACATTTGTAGTTTCTATAGTTGAAATATTTCATTTTAGTCCTTTACAAATCATTTTTGTTTACTTTTAGTCCTTGTGTTCTATTACTATAAGGACTTAAAAAGAAACAAAAATCATATGTATAGAAACTAAAATAAAATATTTGTTTTTGATTACAGGAATTAAAAGGTAAAGTTCATGAACCAAAAGTATAACCAAAAAACATTTATTATGTTATAAATAATAAAAACCATTAATTTCCTTTATTTCTCAGTAAAATATTTTTTCTTTTATATTCTTAATATGAACACTTAACAAAACCATAGTATTAATAGGAAAACTTTATGTATATAAAGAAAAGGTATTAACATATAGTACAATATAATATTTCTCTAAAATAAAGCACCACGAAAAAAAAAAGTTAAATATGTTTTTAATCCTCTAAAAATTTACTCTATTTAGTTTCAGTCCTCCAAATTTATATAATACTTATTTTTAATCTTTTTTTAAACATTATTAATTTTTGTTGACATGGAACTTTTTAATTTAAAATATTAATTATTTTATGATTAAGTTAAGGAAGCCAAGGGTCTTTCATTTCTAAAAGGCAGCACCTTGAAGCTCAGAGAGAAAGAAGAATGAGTATTGTTTAGCGTAATTTGCGTGTTGAGGATTTTGAGAGCCATTTAGGGTGAAATTGTGTTGCCGAAAATTGAGAATTTGAAACTTCGGGGTTTATCGACGAAGACGTGAGACTGAACGTTTATGAACGTTTATGAACACAATAATGACAGTGGAGGAGAAAAAAACTTGACTTTGAATTTGTGAGAAGATTTTATCAGAGTTTAATGGAAGACTCTTTGTTCATGTAGAAAAGGAATTACCAAACCCTCCATATTTGTGTCCGAGAGCGAATAGTGAAAAGTTGTGAGTGTAAAATTAGTGTTTATCCTAAAACTTAACTAAACCCTAAAATAATTAATAGTTTAAATTAAAAAAAAAATTCATATCAATAAAATTTAAGGTGGTTTAGATACTTATGTAACATATTTTAACAATAAAAGTTAACAATGTTTAAAAAAGAATTAAAAATAGACATTATATAAATTTGGAGAACTAAAATCAAAGAAACTTTTTTTAAGGACTAAAATCAAATAGACTCAATTTTTGGAGGGGCAAAACATATTTAACCGAAAGAAAGAAAAAAAAAAGTAATCAAAATAAAAGAGCATCATATCCTAAATAATGTAATTTATTATTAAATAGTGCAATAGGGCATAGACTAGGAATAGACTAACTTAGAAAATGAGGGAAGAATTTGGCACTAATAAACCAGTTGCAAATACAATTACATATTACAATATATAATCAGATGTGAAGAGCACCTTTCATTCTCTAGAGATTAGAGGTTGAATACATTAAAATTTAAATGAAGCAGTTGATAAATTCTCTCATCGACTAGACACTTACTACCATAGATTTGAATCGTGACATAAAAGTCCAAACAAATAAATAAATAAATAGAGATGACCAACTCAAAATATACAAGAAAGTTTCCAAAATTTCGAGAGAATAAGAAAGGATAAAAGGATAACCTATAGGGTATATTTTACTTTTCTAAACTAAGCTTAAAGTAGAGGATTGTGTTTAGTTATGTCCATAACAAAAGGAAGAACGGAAGGAAGAACATAAGTTTAAATTTATTATGCAATATTGCAGTTAAAGATTCACAGGATTTCGCGATTATGATTCTCAAAGGTTGTAAGGAACTGACCAACGTAATTTTATTCAAGAGTTAAAGGAATTTCATTTTTTTTTATAGGAATTCCATCATGTTTTAGACCAACTCATCAATAACTGTATCAGAACAAGTGATTTGCAAAACTAATTAATTCACCTGGCGAGACATTACAAATGAAGCATTGATAATCATAAAACAAAAACTGAAATATCATCTCACAGAAACCTGTAATATCAAAAAATAATTAGAAAGGTTGAAAACACATGGTATCACCCATTAAAACCCTGGCCATACGAATTAAAACATCGCCCATTTTAGAAAACTGCTTAACTAAGCAATTATTCTTATTCTTTGTTCGCAAGTTTAAATACAGGGTTTCTAAAAATATGTTAAAAAGAGTTTTATTAGAGTTAAATTTCCATGCATGTAAATATCAACTAATTAGAAATCTGACAACTAAAAATAGTTATAGTAGTAAAAATTAACGAGCTTACTGTACATAGCAACTATAATTGGATGAGAATAGTATTTATAGTTTTATACTGTGCATCTATATACTATTTATTCATTTTTATTATTTGTATAAACCCGTCAAACTTAATGAAATAGGACTATATAGTAAATAGGATTTAATGTTAGCAGGACCCATAAAGTTAAATGTTAGTCTAAGTTCAAATAAGTTTTTTCTTTTTGGTTAACAAGAAGAGCACGATACAAAATCTGCAAACATTAAATGAAACACAAACTCTCAAGCATCAAACACAGGTGGGAGCCATGGCGATTTTCAGAATCATTCAACCAGCGACAATAACACAATAAGAAAAAACGAAATTCAAAATTCCAGCCATAATCATAAAACACCGTAACGTAAAAGTAAAATTACCTGCAAAAGCGACCGATATAGTAAAGTCCATCGGTGGAGAATCCAGAGCACTTATCGAGCTTAAGAGCCTGAAGCACATGACCGCGCGAACTAGCCAGGTGCTGAAGATCGGAATCCGTCACAATCATGCGGCGAAAGTGGAGCGACTTCAAGCAATCGAAGTACCGAGAGATCTCTCTCACCCACGGCGTCACGAATCCTCCCCAGTCCTCCGGTATGAGGTTGAACATCGCTGCCCGGGGCTTCCCCTTGAGCTTCAGCGACTCCAGGTGCGGGAACCGCCGCCGGAGCCGGTCCGGCGTGGTGGTGTAGCAGAGCGCGATAGTCACGTGCTTCCGCGTGAGCGAGTCGAGCTCGTACCACCGGTGGCACACCTGCGACACCGCGTCCCGGTCCTTCGGGTCATGGATGTACGGCATCACGCAGTCCAGCACCACATCCGACAACCTCGTCGTCATCCGCCTCGCGTCCCGATCCTCCATAACCGCTCCGGAGATCTCAAATTCTCAGCGGCGCGGATCGGAAAAAAAAAATTGTAAGAAAAAAAAACCGCAGAGGAGTTGAGTGACACGTGTGGAAAGCGGCGCCGCCAAAGGAGAAGATTCGAATTTGGGAGCGCGAGGAACGATGAAGGTGTGAGGAGAGGGTTGGGTTCAAGAGGAGAAATTTCGCACGCAAGACGAGCCAATCGGATCGGGACCGAACCGCCGAACCGGGAGGGTTGGAGAAAGAGGGTGAGGGGAAGACATAGTGGGAGGGTGCCTGAACGGACGGTGGAGATTGCGAGGGAGAGGAGTATCCAACGGTGACGGTTGGAACAGTTTGTAAGAACGGGATTGGATCGGACCCTAATGTAGGAGAAGAGGAAAAAAAACCCAAAAGTAGCGGCCACAATTTTAGTTCTACTTGTTTTTATTATTTATTTTGTAATGTAACTAAAGAGATGGTGGAAATGATGAGTGCCAAAGCAAGGGTAGAAACTGAATGAACTAGAAAGAAAAGAAGCCCACAACACGACAAAACTTCCCCTCTCAATTGCCAATAATGTAAAATCAAATCTTTGTGCTACTATCCACTTTTCTTATTTTTTTTTATCTCTGTAATTTATTTAAAAATTTTACAATTTTCTTCTTCTTAAAAGTTAATTCTATGGCTTGTTTATTTATATTGTTTTTAGATTTTGTGACTAAGATAGAATTGCTAGAAGGGATATATTATAAAAATAAAAAATAAAAAGGGATGACGGGAGCTCCTGATAAATGATGCTGCACTGAAAACCAGCTGAATTTGAACAAAATGATTACGTGCAGTGGGTTGGGGGTGTGGAAACATGATTTAGAATTTAGATTCATCCACCGTCGTGAGGAGAATATTTAGATCGTCAAGAAATCATTTTCGTTGAAGATAATAAAAAAAAAAAAAAAAAAACTAGTTTCCATTGACATTTACGTTTGGGATTCGAGTTCTGATTGGTAGTTTCATGTGCCAAATAGTAATTATACCTAACAAATATCTATATATATATATATAATCATTTTAAATTAAAAATACCGGGTAAGTTAAGGTATGTTATTTAAGAATGCGAATTATTTTTAAGGCTCTATTAAGATTTTTTTGGGGGAAAAAAAACTTTCACGTTTTAGATTAGTGTCTATATAATAGAAAATCAGAATGAGTATTATGTTATAGTGAATGAGTAATTAACCATTTTTTCACAAGCAGTAAATAACCATTTAAGAAATGAGGAAAAAAAAAAGTTATATATATCGTACCATAATAATAGCACCGAACAATTCCTAAAAATTTGTCATGTACAAAATATCGGAGCAAACATCCATTCCCCACCACATTAGGTATTGCTGGAAGCATGGATCTCTTTCCACTCCAGCACTCCCTCCCATGACTTCAATCTAGAAAGAAAGATGGGAAAACAATTCCCAGAATTGTAAAGACATACAAAAAACAAAACAATTCCCATGAATCTATCTAGCTTTTGGCTGATGAAACACAATAAATGCTTCATTAATTTGTTTTGTGTTTTCCTCTAAAAAAATAGAGAATGAACTCTAATCACAAATTAAAGAAACATTATGATACAACAGATCAGATAACTAAATAAGATTTTGTATTTTGTAGAAACTATATAAACAAGTTATCAAACATAATGAAACTCTTTTGTATTTATTCAGTTTCTTTCCACAACTCTAATATTTACAAAATTAAAATTGAACTTTATTCTTCAACTTAAATAAAAAATTTATTCGTCAATAAAAAAATATCACTAGAGTTAGGTTAGTGATTGAGAGTAAGTTTAAATTTGATTATCATTATAATTATTTTTATAATTTTTCATACTTTTACTAAAAACAAAAGTTAATATAAAAAAAATCATGTTAGTCTAGTCACTAACCTATATTAGTTAACTTTCGTGGAACATTTTAGATGATACATTAATAGTCTGTTTGAATGAAGAATTTTACAAATTCAAGGAATTTTAAATTCTTGGTATTTGAATTACTTTCATTTCAATTTCTATCATTTTTAAAATATTTTGTTTGGATGAGTCAATTCAAATTTCTTAAATTTTAAATTGTTAGGTTGAATATGATAATTTGATTCCATCATAGTAAAATTGATTTTAAAAATATATTTATATGTTGAGATTTTTAAATTAAATTTTATAAAAATAAATATTAATCCATTTTTAAATATTTAATAATTTTAAAAATTAATATTAGATAATATTTAATAATTTTAAAAATTAATATAAGATAATATTTAATAATTTTAAAAATATTTTTGAATATCCAATAATTAAAAGAATGAAGAGATAAGATAAAATATATAGGTGAAATAAGAAAAACAAATATGAGGAATTTCAAATTCTCCCATTTTTTAGAGAATTTGAAATTCTACTATTTTAAGGAAATTTACAAATGCTTGGATTTCAAATTCTTTATAAATTCCTCATCCAAACAAAGCATTTCACCTCAAGGAATTTGAAATTCTTCAAATAAATAAATTACCCTATATAAATTTCTCATCCAAACACACCATAAGTATTTGTGTAAAACACACATGTATAAGGTTTATACATAAAGAGATGTATACATCGTATTTAATCTTGAACCAAATAATCCATGCTTTATATGAATATTGAGCTTACAATTTATAAATTTTATATTATTACATATTTAAAATTGATATGTTCATATATAAATAATTATGTATATAAACATTTCTTAAAAATATATTATCTATATCTATATATAAGAGTAATTCATTATTTTTATATACATAATTTTTAAATGTTTTATTCTTTAATTTTTAGATAATAAAAAATAATATTAAAAATTAATTATTTTTATAAACTCAAGATTTAAACTCGAAATCTTGAGATTTAAGAATTAGGTACAATATCAATTAATTTAACAAACAATGATAGTTGTTAAACACTTTTAAACAAATATAGAGACATAGAATGTTTTAACACTACTAATCACAATTATTAATATTAATATATCAGGTTAATTTATATAAATATTTATTTTAAAATATTATATTTATAAATATATCTATATCAGTATATTTTTTGGTTACACACCCATATTAATATATAACTTATATATATATCCATAACTAATTTTGATAATAAAAAGAAATCAATGATAATTTTTTTGCATATAAATGTTATGCATTCTTAGTATTTTATTTGATATATAAGAATTACAATGATGAAAATAGTATTCAAATCTAGAATTTTATATATATTATTTTAACATCTTCATTACTATACCGATATTAGTGGCACAATTTTTTTATATTATAATTATCAGTTTTTTCTTAAAAATGTGTTTCTATCATTAAAAAGAAAATTAACAAATTATAAATAAAAAAATGTGCATATTTGAAATTATAAACTACAATAAAAACATAATGATGAATACAAATAAAATATAATGTTTATAAAATAATATTATTTGTCTTATTTTATTTTGGTTAACAACCAAGAGATCCATAAAATTTTCTCTTCTTTGTGTTGATTTTTAGTTCATTTCTAGTTCTACTTTTCGTGTAACATTTTCTTTCTTATATATTAAAACAATTAAGTTATTTACCTAAACATGGATTCAATTCTTAATCATATGCATGAAAAGTGAGATTTGGTAGAAATATAATTAATATATTGTTATATGACACAACCAACATAATTCCAAACAAAGAGAAAAAAAAAATTCTTCAACATATTTTCATTCAGGGTGGAAACTGTTATCTCATCAAATGCATTTAATTAAATATATACAACCAACTTGCATATACCCTTTTCAATGATTAGGATTTCTTATTTTTAATTGTCTCTTAATTTCTTTGTTCTGAGATTTATATACAAGTTTCATGCATATTTTGGTTGTTTTAATTTCTCTAAAATTAGTGCATTTGAGTTTTTTTTTTTTAATTTATGATATATATATATATATATGTGCGCGCACGCACGTGTGCGCGTACCCTTATATTTGAAAGAAAGAATATAAGTTAATTCTTTTTTAAATGAAAAGTGCATTACACTATAATTAACTTTTTGTAAGTCATTTTATTTTTTAAGAACCATATAAATGGTCATTTTTTTTTACCAATAATTAAATAACGACTCATGTATGAATATCGGTTAAGGTTCACTAAATTGTTAAAAAAAATTAATTAAATTAATTAGATATATAAAATAATGATTTATAAATAATAAACTATAACGAATAATATTTATTAGCCACAAAATCAAATAGTTTATAATTGATTTAATAATAATTATATTTTCTTCATCATAAAATTGTCATTAAAAAATATTTTTGTGATAATGTTGATAACAATTATTATAATCACATAAATATTCAAATAATAAAATTATTAGTTAACTGAAATTTTATTATTATAATTATTTTACCTATTCAAATATGTATTTTTTTATGAACTAAAAATAATTATTTCAGTAAGCGTCAATTTAATCTTCAAAATATTTCAAAGAGAAAGAAAAAACATACAATCCTTTTCGCTGACGAAGAGATCCATGAATTGAGGATCTGTGATATTTTATAGTTTAAGAGGTTTTTTTTATGATTTTTAAGTTAATACAAAATTAAATTAAATTTGAATTAATTATATTACTAAAATATTTATTATGAATTTACTACAAGAAATGTTACATATAGTGACATAAAAAAAGTGTCATTATAAGTATAATATATGTAGTTATATGTCTATTTGACATATAGTTACACACAATTTTAGTGTTGATTTTGAATGAAATTTAACAACATATTTTATGTGTCACTATAGTCTATACTCACATTTTTTAATAATATACCAACATATATTGTAGTTATTGTATAGGTAAAAGTAATTTTTAATTATGTATAATGTCATTATAGAGTGTATGTCACTATATGACAATTTTGTTATAGTGATTACATGACTGATATGCAGTAACAATATAATGTAACATGATAAATGTCAAATTTTAATATAATTATTATAGAATGTTAAATTTAAAGAATAAAAAATTAATAAAAAAATATTTAAATGAAAAAATTTCAGGTTTTATATTTAAATTGGCATGATCAATATTGATACATTTATGTTTGATTTACAGTAATCATTGTTTATTATAAAATCATAGAAAATTTAATTATGATTTAATTATTATTTTGTAAAATGTTAAATTTAATATTATATAAAATACTAATATTAAAATTAATATTAATAAATAGTACGTATAAATTAGTGTATATAGTTAATTTTAATATAGAATTAAAGTTAATAATATATTAAGGACCAATTTTATTTTTTTTACATAAACGACCAAAGTTACAAATATATATTTTAGTAGTGAATAAAATTTATAATATTATATAACCAAACAAACAATAACTTATATTTTTCACTAAATTACATTTGTGATTCTCTAT